TACTAACAATAATAACCACGGTGGCTGGAAAGGAAAGAAGAGCGACAATCCTTCTTCTTCCGAAAACGCCCACTCTAGTAATAATGTTAGTACCTTTGACCATAATGATGTCTTAGCCGTGGACAATCAAGGATCTAAAAGGAAACCCAGGCGAGAGTTCACACCCATTGGAATGACCTACGATGCTGCGTTCAATCGTCTCTATGATCGAGGATTAATCAAACCTATTGTCCCTACCGAGGATCCAACACCAGAAAATCGATCTTCGAGATGGAATCCAAACTCCTATTGCAAGTACCATCGAGGAAACGGTCATACCACTAATGAATGCTACAGGTTTCAAAATCTCATTCAAGATCTCATAGAGGCAAACGAGATCCCATTGCCTCTAGCTAACGAGAAGACTGGGTGATGATGATGCGAACAACACAAGAGAAGAGGCAAGCTTCAATGACAAGATTTCATGACCTCTCTTTTTCTATTTCTTTTTCTTTTTTTCCTTTCCCCAATAAGTCTAGCATAGGCACCCTTATTTTCCCTTAGATTAATTTTGTAGATTCTTTCTTTTCCCTTTTCTTTTAATAAAAATGAGCATTTATTTCCTTATATATGATCATTTCATTATATATGCTTCCTATGTTCTTCCTAATATTTATGATTGTTAGTATCATGTTAGGGTTAAAGATTTGATTTTTAATGTTTAGTAACATGCTAGGGTTTGTTATTAATCCTGTTAGTATCATGCCTAGGATCTTGCTATTATTATGCTTTAATATTAACATGAACATGATTATGATTATAATTGTTATAATTTATGATGATTATGAATATTATTGTTATTATTATTTTGATGATGATATTATTATTCATGATATTAATTTATTATGTTGCTTGATATTTATTTTTATTGCTTGATCACGCCTTTTATGCATGTTTAAAGGGAATTGGTACTTGTAATCACGCTTAATAAGATATTTAATAATCTTGTTTAGGGTTAATGTGATTATAATTTCAAGTGATCGCCAATAATAGTATATTTGTGCATTAAATTCAACCAACATAGATAAACAGGTTTAGGGTTAATCTATTGATTGCATGTTAATTAGAAAGCGCATATGAATAAGATCAGAATAAAGTAGAGGCCTATTATTAGGGCAGGTTCAATCTCTTTTAGGTTGGATTTGTACCTTCATCCCCGAACCCTTATTTGGTTCTAGACCTTATGGAGTTGACGATCTCTTGGATCGTTAAGGGGTGTAACCTTCACCTCGTGAATGGTTTACAAGTTCCTAAAAAAACTTGTTGGCGACTCTTTTGCTCTACCTTCTTCCCTTTTGAACGCCACCGTACTTTAGTGTATGATCACAGTGGGGTTCAAGCTAGTGGAATTTTAAAGGCTTGAAATTATTCCCTACACCAACAAAAAGCCACAATATGATGGCACAAACCCGCCACAAACAAAGAGCACCAACACCAACCACTATCCAAGAACAAATGACACCAAAACAAATAGCACCAAAACTATGCAAAAACCCCAAATGCAGCCACTAACAGAAGCACAACAATATATAGCAACACCAAACACAAACTGAACAGCGCAAGGGAATAACAAAGCAATGCGATAAAGTAATACCTGATCGCATAAAAAGACCGAACACTACAACTAGAAGGACCAAGCACATGCAGTTCGAACCAACTGATCGCAAAAAAGCACCCACGCTAGAACAAAAACAGACCACAACAACCCAGAATAGAACACCAGCTAGAAGCACCCAAAACTGCTACAGAATTGCACCGAAACTGCTACTGAATTGCACCGAAATTGCTACTGAATTGCACACCAAAACTGCTATTGAATCGGACCCCGAAACTGCACTAAAACACGCCCTTAAAACTCCAGACACTGCCACAAAATACCGCCAATAACACTAGAAATCTGGACACTGTCGCAGCCTAAGAAAACCCCTTGAATAGACGCCAAAAATCGGCTTGAAAGCGCCAGAACTAGCTTGGAAATTCACCCCTAAAACGCCTGAATTTCTACCTGAAACCGCCTGAAAACAGAACCACCGCCGAGAGACCTTTGCCGGACCTTTAAGGACGATAAAACCATCGCCAGGCCTGAATTTTTGCCGGAAAACCGCCTGAAAATGAACGTGGAACCACCCTAATCGCCCCTAACCTAGAGAGAATATTATTATTATTATTATTATTATTATTATTATTATTATTATTATCTTCATTTTTACTTTTTTTATTAAATATGCAACTAAAAATATTTATAGTTAAAGTAATTTACTGACAAACGTATACAATCAAAATGAGATATATAAAAAGTTTTTATTTTTATATACTCTCGCTGTAGTAATTTTTGTTACACCCACTTTTCATTTAAACTTTTTATTTTTATTCTCGATCTCACTTTTTATTTTTAAAAAGCTTCCCTAAAAACGTCTAAGTGCTACGTGGATTCCTTATTTCGAAGACTACTCAATTGACTATGTGCAACGTAGATTCGTATACCCCTTATTTTTGAAGACTACACAAATTTCTTAGAAGAAAGTTTTGTGATACTCCGTAAAATTTAAATCAACGTCTTTCTTCTCTCATAAAATATTCAGTTCAATTCACTTCAGCTCCAATAGGTTAAGTTAAGTTCAGTTAAGTTCAGCTCACTTCAATTCAGCTTAACTCGGTTCAATAAATCAAAATAGGAATAAGTTTTGTATACATCCGGTGTACACACTAACTAACTGTACATCGAGGGTCATTTCTTATCAAATTTAGGGTCACTTTTACAATATTTTGGCTAACTTTTGTCAATAAAGCATAAATAATTCGTAACTTCTATTTATATCTTCGTAACTTTTATTTACGTCACGGTAACTTTTAATCATGTTAGGGTAACTTTTGCTATATTTATTGTACATCCGATTTATTTAAAAGTTTATCATCACAATCGACCCTAAGATAATTGGACAAAGCAACTAGCTAGACATGGAAATCCTAACCCAACCCGATTGACCCGACCCGAATTGGCCTCAACACTCTGAATTATGGCTTGGTTACACTCAGCACCCTGAACTTAGCGGCACAGCAAAAACACCCTGAAGTATTAGCTTGGGTGCACTTAGTACCATAAATGAAAATTTCGGGCCAAAGTGGTCGGATTCCGGCGAATTTTTTTTAATAAAAAATATATTTTTTATTTTCTTCTTCTTATTATTATTATTATTACAAAAATACCTCGTTTTGCATGTTTTTTTTGTGACAAAAATTGCCCGGGTAAGGTTTTGGGGGTTATTATTATCCTTAATGGACCCAAATTAAGCTTGGAATTTACAAAAAAAAAAACGGAAATACCTCGTTTTGCGTGTGGAGAAATATCTCGATTTGCGTGTTGTTATTTTTTGTGGCGAAAAATAGTTCTGGTAACCTTAGGGGATTATTTTTATCCTGAATGGATCCAAATTCAGCTCGGAATTTGCAAAAAAAAAAAAAAAACCTCATTTTACTTGTCGAGAAATATCTCTATTTGCGTGTTGTTATTTTTTGTGACGAAAATTGTTCTGGCACGGTTTCGAGGGTCATTTTTACCCTTAATGGGTCCAAATTCAGCTTGGAATTTGCAAAAAATATATATATAACGATATTTCTTGACACGCAAAACGAGGTATTTTCGTTATTTTTTTGTGAATTTCGAGCTTAATTTGGAATCATTAAGGGTAAAAATGACCCCCTAAAACTCACCCGGACAATTTTTCGTTAAAAAAAAACACCACGCAAAACGAGTTATATCCGTAATAATAATAATTATGAATAATAATTATAAGAAGAAGAAGAAGAAGAAGAAGAAGAAGAAGAAGAAGAAGAAGAAGAAGAAGAAGAAGAAGAAGAAGAAGAAGAAGAAGAAGAAGAAGAAGAAGAAGAAGAAAATAAAAAAAAACATTTTTTTATTAAAAAAAAAATTTGCCGGAATTCGGCCACTTTTAGCCGGAAATTTTCATTTATGGTGCTAAGTGCACCCAAGCTAATACTTTAGGGTGTTTTGGCTGCCTCTTAGGGCCTGTTCTTTTACGTTGAAATTCGGTTCAGTTCAGTTCAGTTCAGCTTAGCTCGGTTCAGTTCAGCTCAGTTCAGTTCAGTTCAACTCCTAATTTCCTTCTCTTACAATTCATTTCATTCAGTTCAGTTCAGTTCAGCTGAGTTCAGTCAATGAGAACAGGTCCTTAGTTTAAGGTGCTGAGTGCACCTAAGCAATAATTCACAACTTTTATTTATATCTTCGTAACTTTTATTTACGTCAGGGTAACTTTTAATCACATTAGGGTAACTTTTAATCACATTAAGGTAACTTTATAACATTTATTGTACATCCGATTTATTTAAAAGTTTGTCATCAGTCCTCCTCACTAGGGATGACAATGGGTCAGCCTCGGAGCGGATTATGCTAAATCTGACTCCGACCTAATAGAGAGTCGGAGGCTAAATCCAACTCCGACTTTGACATCCGACTCCGGGACTCCGACTCCGACTTCGACTTCATAATCCGACCTCTAACTCCAACTCCGATTCGACCTGACTCTGAATATTTTTTCGTTATTCAATATACTTTGAGAAATTGGGCTATTTGGGCCTTTACAACCCACATCCAATGCCCCACCATGACCTGCACAAAAATCCACTATCTATTGGAGTCAGGAGGGATAATCCGTTAGAGTCGGACATTTGTCGAAGTCAGATTTTTTTCTCGAATTTTTTGTAGGATCCAACTCCGACCCTCCTCTGACTCGGAGCCAGATTATTTTAATGGAGTCGAACTCGAATTACTTTTTTCTCGGACTCGAAACGGATTTTTTTTACCTCAAATCGAGACGGAGTATGATCAGATCCCCACTGAATTGTCATCCTCACTCCTCACAATAGACCTTAAGATAATTTCCAGAGCAACGAATTGTTTTGTTTTGTTTTTTCTGGGGTTTTTTTTTTTTTTTTTTTTTTTTTTGGGGGGGGGGACCAGTTGGCAACAGAAGCAATAATATCAGCAGCAAAAAAAATCAGTCAGCATAAACAGTATGGTTGCGCAACGGAAAAATCGATCAATAAAAAACACGTTCGCCGAAATCCTCTCTCTCTTTTTCCTTTATAAATACCAACTTCCCCTTATTCTGCCGCCCTCTCAAAATCCTCAATCACTCCATTTCTTCTTCACTCACATTCTCCACATTTTGAAGAAGAGGAAGAAAGTTGGGATTATTATTATTACTATTTTTGCAACACTCTCTTTCTATTTTCCCAACTAATAATTACCTTCTTCTTTCTCCTTCTTCACCTCCATTAATGGCTTCTCCCCTCCCTCTCATTTTCTCTCTCCTCGCTCTTTCTCTCCATCTTCAACTATCTCCAGGTACACCATCAACTTCATTATACACTCTAACCTCAAATCATATAACATAATGTTCAATTTCATTCTAATCCTCTGTTTTGATTAAACAAAGTAGATTTTGATAAATTCTGAATTATTTTTGCAGGAGAAGCAGTGACATTCACAATAACAAACAATTGCGACTACACAGTATGGCCAGGAATCCTCTCCAACGCAGGCGTAGCACCGCTTTCAACTACCGGTTTCGCTCTCCAAAAAGGTGAAACAAGAACAGTCAATCCACCTTCCGGTTGGGGCGGCCGGTTCTGGGGTCGAACCTTCTGCTCAACCGATCAAAAAACCGGCAAATTCACTTGCTTAACCGGCGATTGTGGGTCCGGTAAAATCGACTGTTCCGGCGCCGGAGCATTACCGCCGGCAACACTCGCTGAGTTCACACTCGAAGGTGCTGATGGGATGGATTTCTACGATGTTAGCCTAGTTGATGGGTACAACATAGCTATGCTCGTGGCGCCGCGAGGCGGGGGCGGGCCAAATTGCTCGTATACTGGTTGTATAAATGACTTGAACGGCGCGTGTCCGTCAGATTTGAAGGTGATGAGTGCGGGTGAAGAGAGTGCGGTGGCGTGTAAAAGCGCGTGTGATGCGTTTAATACTCCGCAGTATTGTTGTAGTGGGGCTTATGGATCGCCTGACACGTGTAAGCCATCGAGTTATTCATTGGCGTTTAAAAAGGCTTGCCCACGCGCGTATAGTTACGCGTATGATGATAAGAGTAGTACTTTCACTTGTAAGGGCTCTCCTGATTATACCATCACCTTTTGCCCTTCTCCTGCTACCAGGTAATTTTATTTATTTATTTATTTTGCTTATTTTAAAGTTTCTTTCAATTTTTTGATTATTGTACTAATTACATTATGCTTTTTGATCTGTGACTAAGGACAAAGATTAACAATGAATGTCAAATCATTACAACATTTTTAAATTAGTAGCACTCCTATAAAATAAGAAGTTTACGACAAAATCACACGTTTCATGTGAAATTGTAATCATGTATAACTCACAATTCTTAGACTTGCGTATAGCAATTTTAACACTATTTTCAAACAAAAAAATAAAACGTGAAAGTATCGCGGATGCAATAGCTTGACTTGTCGTGGTCATATCTCTAAACTACATTAATTTTTCACAATAATTGTAAGCAGATTCTTCAAATAATTGATCATTTGAGCTGGTAATGATGAATGGATATACTCTGACTATAGGTAAATGTCAAAATTGGTGCCTACCACTAAAAAGCAGTATGAAATTAGTTATAGATAGATGAGTGAATGTCAATTTAAATGGTTAGTGAATAAATGGGCCACTCCCAATTTCTAAAAATTTGTATGCTTCAACTTTACTCTAAGGTCCCGTTTGGTTTAATGTAAAACATTTTCAATGAAAAATTAGTTTTCATGGAAAACATATTTTCAAGGAAAAACACAATTGCAAATTAATTTTCCTTTGTTTGGTTGCATACAAGAAAAGTCCAAGAAAAATAAAAAATAAGAGTGAAAATGTAAGGACGAATGAAAGGGAAGTAAAAAAAGAGGTAAGGAGGAGAGAGAAAAATATGGCTTCCCTTGTTTTTAGAAGGAAAATGTTTTCCATCATTAAGGATGAAATTTTCCACCCTTGAAAAATTGTTTTCCACTCCTTAACAAACCAAACAAAGAAAAATGGGAAAAAATGAAAAATTCATTTTCCATGAAAACATTTTACATCAAACCAAACAGGGCCTAAGTCCTTAGGTAATAAAACACCAACCAGATTCCTGCTGCCATTTTTATGATACCATTGTCAATTTTTATTTTTATTTTTTTTTAAAAAAAAACATGATAACATTGTCAATTCTTACTATAAAGTTTTCTTATCTACTCCTAGGACTAATTTACAGTACTTTTTTTTAAACATTTTGCTCCTTTTTTTTTTTTAACATTATAATTTTTTTGATTCTGGCTTATCAAAATAAAACATTTCAAATATTTTAATGACTATTAATGGTACTTGAAAAAAGCAAATATGACTTAATATTTTAAGTCGTTAAAAATAAAAATTCTAGTATGGCAAAAGTAACTATTAATCGATGACGGAACTGACAATTCGAACGTTAGTTGGTTGTATGAGTTTTTTTTTTTTTTTTTTCGAATAAGTAACAACAAAAATAAACCGAGTCAGTGTATCTTCAGCTGTTTTTTTTGTTTATTCTTTTGTCAGAGAGTATAATTTGTCAGATTATGAAATTCCAAAAATGCCCATCTTAAGGAAATATCCAGAGATATTTATGTGGGCATAATTGTCTTTTCAAGGGTGGAGTGTTCTGTATGATGAACGTTGTAAGTCGGTTTTACACAAAGAAACAGATTTTCACCATTTCCAAAAAAATATCACTTCACTATTCTCCTGGTCCCAGCCTCTGTTTCAGCCGTTGGATCATGCAAATTGCAACGGTCCATTAATCGAGCTGTTCTACTCATGGAATTATTAATTACTGTAGCTTAGGCTACGATATTTAATTATTTATTTTATATGATATGATGGAAATGGCATCTTCTATTTTAGTGAAAACAATAGTCATTTAATTAGTGAAAGTTAGTTGCATTTTATACTACAATAAACAATAATTATATCTAACGTAACATTCATTTTAGTAACAGCAATATTCATTTATTGAAAAGTTAGTTGCATTTTATGCTACAATTATTATAGCTAACGTGTTTATGTACGTTAGTACGTTTTTATAATTCTATCTTTAGTGTATGGGACTATGGAGTGAGTACTTTTTTCCCTCTCCCTTGCAATTTGGCTGTGTGGTTGTGAATATCCATGAGTTAAATGTTGGTGTTAAATGATTTGTTAGGTAGGGTTGGTATTTCATTATTATTCATGTTAATTCAATTCTATAATTCCATGGTCGTGTTAATATCGGCTTATCAAGTCCGAGTCAGTTTTGTTAAGTCTACTAAAGTGACTAATGAATGTGTTCTTTCGTGTTGTAATTGTTTTTTTCACCAAACTAGAAAAAAAAAGGGTATTCTTGGTTCTAACATTCTGGCCTATTGCGTTGTATGAATTTGACAGCCAAAAGGCATCGTCATCAGACGAAGGAACACCATCAACATCAACTCCGTCATCAGATGTAATAATGAACAGCTCAATGGTATACGAAGGTGCTTTAGATATGTCATCCTCACCGTCCAAATGCAATCATTCACCTCTTATTGCCGGTGGGGTTGCCACCTTCATTGCCATCTGGCGGTTGTCGGAGCTCTTCTTCTAATCCACATTTTGGTTGGTTAGTAGACGTTGTTATCAGCAACTCCAAAAAATCACATACACAAAAGTCCGAACTAACTCTAACTTATTACTTACCAGTTGTGCAATTCACGAGTGAGGACATTTGGTCTTTTTCCTACGTTTGAGCCCACACGTATGCTTTTTGATAATGGGCCGGTGATGGGCCTCATGTCATTTCTGGGCCAGATGATGGTTTGATGAAGAACTGACTCATTTATAGATTGAGAGATTGAAAAAGAGAATTCATATTGTTTGGTGGGTAGCTGGTGATTTTCAATTATTTAATATTCATACATAAAAATAGAAATTAGGTTTTATTTTGTTTTGATTTATTTAGAGTTTAGGAATAGACAAATTAGTGATTGTAATACATATATATACGTGCTACTACTATTTGATTGCTACCACTGAGGTTGGTGCTTAGGATTAATATTATTATTATGGATTCAATTTTCATTCTTTATCTTTTTGTCTCACTTTATGTGTCATGCTTATTGCTGTTCTGTACCTTATCCAATTTATAGTGGAAGATGATTTTGATTGTTAAAAGGTTATACAGAGTAGCAATATATTGGATTAATCTAACCTATTAGTGGAAGATGATTTTTGATTTTCAAAAGGTCACAATATATTTTATTGGATTAATCTAATCTATACCTGCTCTTGTAGTTGAGCTCGAGAAAAATAAGTTTCATTAAAAAAAAAAAAAAAAATAAAAAAAATAAAAAAAAAAAGATACTTAAGGCTAATTTATTTACAATGAAAATATATTAACAATTTTAGTTGAAAAGATACAAGTTTATTAATAAATCAAAAATCAGATGAATGTAACTAACTCTAAATTAAGACATAACCATATACATATAGATTACTTCAGATGAATGTATGGCTATTGGCTCACTTCACTGTACAAAACGAGTTGATTCCTACTGGGCAGATCTTGTCATAATAGCATAATCAAAAGCTAATTTTACTATAAATAAATATTATCCAATGTCCACATTTATATTTTATAATTACTAATAGTATGAATGGTGTTAAAGCCTTGAGTGGGAGCAATAATTAAACAAATTGATTACCAATGAGTGATTAATAGTTGTTCTTTTATTGACCTTTTTTTGGTTAATGTAAACTCTGGAACCTATAAGCCAGGACTCATATATAAGTTGCTGAGTATGTGAGTATGTTTGATTGTTAGCCAACATTGAACTTAGGTGGTATGTATAATTTTGGATGTGTGGGGGTCAAAGTTTTCTATCTTGAGGAGTACAATTTTCGTTTGTCATCTCCCAATTCTAAAGTGTCTGATTCATATACTGTATAATAGACCATAGAATGGTGAAGGTTGTCTCCTCTTCACCACTAAAAAAAGAAGAAATTCTTCGTATTTTGTTTGTCTATTGCGAACCCTGCTCAACATGTTAGCAAACAGGACATTGTGAGGTTGAGCTTGATTCTAGTGAAATTGGTTAAGTTTTTATATGAGTTAGGCTATATTCAAGCCAATCATTTTGATCAAAACTATTAGGTCACGTTAATTGCTTGTTTGATTTAAGATAGGATTAAAAAAAAATAAAACGGTACGAATTAGTTTCATCAAGTTACTATGAATTATATTTGCGTGCCAAGAATACATTTAATTACATAATTTAACTTAAATTTGGAAGTAATTTGTCATAAAACTTTATTTTCTCACATGTTGATTACCAAAAGGCTTTGTTGATTACAAATTTTGCAAATGGGTGTTATGAAGTTGGACACAATAATGAAGTTGTTAAACCATCTGTTGACAACATACTAAGTAACATCTATATGATTTTTTTGTACAAACTTTCTAAACAAAGTGACCTAATTTTTAGACATTTGGACTAGGACAACTTTGCAACTTCTGAAATTGGGAAGCAAACTGTTGATTAAGGTGGTTGTCATGTTACCAAGGAAACTAAACTACAAACAAGAAATTATAAAAATAAGCAAAAGAAAAGCTGCTAAAAATAAGTAGAGAAAATATTGAAATTGTAGTGCTGTTCACGTTACGCAAAGCATATACTAGGTATATTATGAATTGTGAATTGTGAATTATGAAAATTTAATAATCATGAAGAATACATTCATTGTTATATTATGAATTGCATGCAAATCAAGAGCTGTTGATTCAAAGCTAATCATCTTGCAATTATAAGATCAATATTATTGTTTATTTTTTTAAAATTATTTTTTTCATTGCTATTCAATTATACTTGTTTGTCTTTCAAATAACCCACTAGATTGCTTGATCTTTCGGTTGTGAGTTAAAAGCGGATGATCAATAACCTATATACTAAAAGACACATCAGTAATGACACGTGTTATCTCCTGGTGTATCCTTAGTTTTTATTTTTTATTTTTTTATTTATAATTTACTTATAGTATATAATCTTGTACAAAAATAATTTCTTATATAAGTTAATAAAGATAATTATTTTAAATAAAAATATTTGATATCTTTCCACACAAACATTTATGAATATAGTAGAAAATATTAACATAATTTGCGACATATTTTAATCTATATCAAGGAAGTATTCATATTTTTTCTCTAATAAAAATAGTTGTTCATTTATTGATTAGAATTCATATTAAAGTAGTGTGTATATTTATTAATTTTTTTTAGATTTTTAATTTTTTTGTAAAATAATCAATTATATTTAAAAGTTGATACGTAGTAATATATTATAAAATTACCGTGTGTGGCACGGGACCTAACAACATTACAAAAAATTTCTAATTTTTGGAACTTCTTATTTTTGCCTATATGCTTCTAACATACCTCTATTAGGGTTTTTTTTTTTCAAATATACTTTTATGTATTTATTTAATTCATGTAAAACTCTAACTAAGTGTTAGAATCCAACTCTAACTAATTTTTTTTTTTTTTTTCAAATATGCTTTTCTAGACTTTTCTTTAAGTTTTTTTAAGGTTTGGACACAATTATTGTGTTACCGGCATTTTAGTGTTCACTAGAGATTCTATGTAATTGCAATTAAAGCTCTTTAAAGGAAAAGTAATTGAATGAAATCCAAAAGTCTTCTACCCGGTGTTGCTTTGCTTTTATACTTGTAAGTTGTAACTAGTGTGTGATTAGATATATAGATATTGTGTCTTACTTGCATAATAGCTTCCCTCCAAACTCATTTGATGCTAGCCATAAAAACTCGTGGTCCAGACTCGCTTACGGGCGCTTTGACTAGTTGGCCTTCACAAGCCGTAATTACCCGCACTCCGTCACCAATAGACGTAAGCGCCCTTGAGATATAGTTGCCCACTTGTACGTGTTGCTTTGTGCTCACATGCCCCGTTTCTACACAAGGCTTCGCTCTTCCTCCCAAAAAGCAAAAGCTCGTCACACCATTATTTAGTGCTAGAACACTCAGAACATGAGAGTTGGTATTAGAGGCAAGTTTTAACCTCGACAATAGAGACCTAGCTATACAGGCAGTCAGGCACCCAGTGAAGGCTACACCAAGATGGATTTAGAAGAAAAACTTGCTTGGCTTGAAGCCAAGGAGAATCAATGGTCCTAGCTTGAGGTAATATAATTGTGCATGAGCAATTGAACTTTGCTCAAGGAAAAGTCAAAGAAGCACTTAATGCGCGTTGTGGGAAGAGACATTGAAGGTGCTGGTGTAGTAAAGATCAAACCACCTAAGTCCCGCAACTACAGTGGCATCAGAGATGCTAAAAGAAGTTGATAATTTCATTTTTGACATGGAGCAGTATCTCCATATATGTCAATTAGGTGACAACCAAAAAGTGGATGATGCAATCATATACTTAGTACTTGTCAAACGATTCCAAATTGTAGTGGCGCACAAAGCACACTGACATTGAAGTAGGAAGATTGAAGATAGACATTGTATACATCTACTTTTGGCCCCATGTCCCGACAGGAAGTGCAATGACGATAAATAAAGCCATCTCCGTGTTGGATCAAAGTGAAGAATACTTATGGATAACTGTTAAGCCATAAAACACAAAAGACTAGCTCAAATTAAAGAAAAAGCCAAAACAAAGGTCTAATTAACTAAACCCGATCATAATTAGGCTTAAGCCCGTGCTTAAACCCTAATAATGACGGATTTAGGAGCGCCTAGGTTAAAACTTAGTGCTGCCGCTAAAAAAGTCGCGCGCATCTCACAAAGTCGCGCCAGGCTGCCGCGCGCAACTATTTCAATTGCGCGCGACACCCAGCGCAACTTTCGGAAATTATACGGAAAATATAAAATCGAATCTTACCATAAAGCCGCGCGCAAGACCAGTAGTTGCGCTGCACATAGCAGCGCAACTCTATACCTTGCGTTGGGTTGTCGCGCGCAACTTCATCTGTTGCGCGCGACACCTGCTACGACAGATTGCTCGAAAGCCTAAACCTAATCATTCTCTATAAATACGAGCTTAAACCGAGGCTTCAACAGACAGATAAAACTCTGGCGAAATAACTTGTGAACTTGTGCAACCTAGCCCTCTTGTCCTAAACACTCACCCTTTCGATACTTTGTTACTACGGTGGAGGTTCCCCAACAAGAAGGTGTCCATAAGTGTTCTAAACGGAGATCTAGCATAGAGAAGTGGTAAATTCCCGAGCACTTAGTTAAATCACCATTATTTTTCTTGTTTAAAAGGACTTTAATTAATTAATTAGTGTTGTTTGATCACATTTAAAATATTAATTAATCAATTCCACATAGTATCTTGCGTTAAATAAAGACTAGAATTGAATTAAATAATTTTTGGTTGGTCACTTAAGCCAAGGCGAATCTTGTTTATTTATTGTTCTTTCACGAATATTATTAAATAAGAATAACGACTTTTGCAATGTAATTCCTACGTGAATTAGTGTTTGTAAATAAAATCAACTAACATACTTTTAGGTATCGCGTTGCAAACATTGTTTGGTGATGAAATTGTGAAAAAGGAAGAGCTAGTAGAGGCCGTACTAGGGCTAGGATAACGATTCCCCTCTAAAAGGAACGTTATCTTAGTACCCTCGCTCCCGAACTCATTTCTGGTTTATAGACCAATTTGGGCATGGTTAAACTTATGATTTGTGCTAATTATTCCATGAACTCCACATGGAAGAAAGGCACGAACGAGGTTTATGAGTTTTTCCTAAAATTCATTGGCGACTCCTACTTGTTTCTTACAAAAAAACGTGATGATAGAATCAATTCTAATTCAAGGTCCCCCAAATAGTCAGGAATCCAAATCCTACTACATCCTAACAAGTGTAAAGTCCTAGGCTTTTAAGTGTCCAAGGGCATTTAAGGAGAGTACCCCTTACGATGGGAACGCCCTCCTTACAGTGGAGACTCCACTGGGGACTTAGAGGTTACAAGATTAGTTCGTAGTTATGGTTCAAGGTTTCCAACACTAGGTTGCCTATGGATTGTAACGAGAACTAACTTGGATAATCTCTAGTTAGA